TTAAGCATTTGTTTAAACACTAAACACCTGCAACATTTGTGTGTCTGTATGTCTTTCTGCTTGCCTGCTTGCCTTTTCTGTCTATTTGTCCTAAGTGATATAACTGTCATAAAACTGGACTTATTCTAATAATTAGCTCATTTGTGTTTTTCAGGGACCTTTATTTTAGATATAATTTTTAAATTCTTTCCAAAGATACTGAATATAGAGAATTTTTGAATTATTATCTAGTCTGCTTGGTTTAGTTATTGAACAGTGTTTATTTTAGTTATTTATTGCAATAGATGCAGCTTGATTCAGTATTTTAATGTAAATATGTTAATGAGATATTTTTAAATTTTTATTTTATATTATTTTTGAGCCCTCTAGTGAATTTCAGTGTTTTCATTTTTTACACTTAGTGTTTACATGTCAAGTGTCTGCTTTGTGCCAGGAATACTAATGGGAGGAAGATGATTTCCATCTTAGGATGAGTTTGTCTTCTGAGAACATAATAACAGAATTAACAGCATATTAAGAAAAATGCTAATGAGCCTCACTGCATTGTCCAGTAGAGTACACACCAACCAGGTTGGAATTATTAGAGTATAATTTGTGAGATTTAGAGCATCCTGAAGGATAACTGGGAAAGTAGTTGAGACCACGTCTTAGAGGTCCTTTTTATTCTATAGACAACGGCAGAGCCAAGTTTTATGGTTATGTCAGGAAGGATGAAGACAGAAGATCAGAACTGTCTATTGGTAAATTGGTGCTTGTTCTTCAGCTTAATCTGTTTCTATCTAATTTACAATATACTGGCAAACTACCTTCTTAGATGAAATTTCTAGCTTTTCTGCCCTACACTTTAGTCAGTTTGGGAGAAATATTGGGGTAGAAAGATGCATAAAAGTATTCAGTTGCCTAAGCATATTTATGTATGTTTGTATTGCCTTTCCAAGTAAGTAAATATTTAAATCTCCATTAACAACTGGACAAACTGAAGACTGGGGAGAGATCATAATGATTGTTTACAGTTAACTCTTAAAGACAAAAAAAACCATATAGATCCTTACAATGTAAACAAAACCAATACTTCATTTCTTTACATCTTCTTTAAAATATTTGAACTTAACATGCATTTGGTATTGGTGAATTTCACACTGAATGAGATGGATGAAAAAGGATATTGGTATTAACTTAATCTTTCTTTGAATTATAACAGTGTTTAACCCTTATAGTAAACCCTCAGCTGAGGTAGTTGTTAAACTGCTTTGGTTATGTTCTGTCCTTGGTCTGTTTTCTTCTCAGTAATGTGTCTCCCAATTGACAGTGTCAAAAAGACATTTCTCTCACTTAATAATATTATACTTAGTATTTCCCATTCTTTTTTATGTATGTGTATGCTGTTTTGACTTGGGCTACTTTAGAAAATTAATAACATGACGGTTTTATTTATTTTCATGTTTATATGAAATCCCAGATACAATAGTGTCAAATATAAAGTAATAATATCCTCAGCTAAATCTAAAAGGCTTATATTAGAGAAAATGTGTTTTGATTAAAAGTGGTATAGTTTTGATGCAAATACAAGAAATCCAACTCTTTCTTTTAATATTAGTGGAATTCAGAGAGTCTAGGTCCAAAAAATTAGCCTGGGTCATCCTCTTTATTTTAGGGTATTCTTAGTGATTGGGAAGGAAAACGAAATAACTGTTTTTTCCATGTTTAGTTTTAGCCAACATTCAGTTCTTAACCTGGAGATTTTACACCTTTGAGTCAAGGCACAAGCCAAGAAGGCACCTATTGCTTTTATTTTTAACATATGTTTGGGTCAAATTTTCTTTCTTTTTTTTTTTTTTAATACAAATTGAAAATTAAAGAAACTGAGTTCAAATAATAAATGACTTCGTTTTTAATGCAAAAGGCACTACTGCCATCTAGTGTTTGCACATGGATTTAAAAAAAATAGTATTCTTTTTCCTTTTTTAGCACTGTTTTGAGAATAACTCCTTCATCCCTATAAATTTAATATTGAGCAGGATCCACCTTTATTAATCTTTTAAGGAATTTTATTTTTATGTCTCATATGTTAAAGCTTATAAGTTATAAATAAATTCATTATATGTAAATTTGCTTAATGTTCACCTGTGATATTTGTACAATTAAATTCTATAATGAATATTTTACTTTCTTAGAGTCGAGGTGGAAAAAAGTTTCTCGCTGTACTGAAAGAAATCTTGGACAGGGATCCTTTATCTCAACTGTGTGAAAATGAAATGGATCTTATTTGGACTTTGCGACAAGACTGCAGAGAGAATTTCCCACAGTCACTGCCAAAATTATTGCTGTCAATCAAGTGGAATAAACTTGAGGATGTTGCTCAGGTAACAAAAGATCACTTCCGTAACTCCTGGTGTGCATGTATATATTACTTTGTTGATTTCGTCTAAAATGTCCTTTCCTCATAGGCATATTTCCAAACAGGTTGGATAATTTTATGCCAGAGAAATTTTGAGGTTTTAAACTCTTACGTATTCTGAATTAAATAATGGACCAGACAGTTTCAAGATTTAAAAATCCCAGATTCTGGATAGGGTTGCCATCCTTTTCACTTAAGTCAATTGCATCATTGGTCTTCGGACAATCATCTATCATAAGGAGCACCTGCGGGCCGGCCCGGTGGCGCACTGGAGAGTGCGCCGCTTGGGAGCACAGCAGCGCTCCCGCCGAGGGGTCGGATCCCATGTGGAGACCGGTTCCCGCTCACTGGCTGAGCGCGGAGCGGGTGCAACACCGAGGGTTGTGATCTCATTGCCAGTCCCCGGTACGGGCGCGACACCGAGGGTTGCGATCCCATTACTGGTCAGTAAAAAAGACAAAAAAAGGAAAGAAAAAAAAAAAATAAGGAGCACTTGCTAGATCTGAATGACTAAAGTTTTTAATCTTTACACCCTTTGCAGTGGCTGTTCTAAAATGAATATCTATTGTTTGAAAATACCTCTATTGTAGAAGTTAACATTTTAGATCATAAGCTATTTAGATCAGTTTTAACATTCATTTCATTTGGGTAGTATTGATGAATAGAGAAAGGAAAAAATATTGCTCCAAAAAGCCACCAAATTTTAGCTCTTTGGTTTATTTTTCAGGAGCCTGTCAAAAAGCACTGGCATTCGTTAAATTCAAATGGTCACCAGTGCCCAATACAAAGACCCTATAAGGGCCAGGCCTGTGGCTCACTTGGGAGAGTGTGGTGCTGACAACACCAAGTCAAGGGTTAAGATCCCCTTACTGGTCATCTTTTGGGGAAAAAAAAAGACCCTATAAAAGATTTTTAATCAGAGTAAATATATTGGGCCAAATTTGTTCACCTTACTTATATGAATTCAGTAGATCTCTCTAGTTTTGAGGTCTTGACTATTTTTTTCTTTCTTTTTTTTTTTTTTGGTGACTGGCCTGTACAGGAATCTGAACCATTTGCCCTTGGTGGGTCTTACTAGATCTACAGTGACTTAAAAAATTTAGTGAAGAAATGCATATTTATTTTAATTGTATGCATTTAAAAAATTGGTTTTTATTGTATTACTTCTCAAATTAAGTGTAGAAAAGATTTGAGTTTACTTCTATGTCTAAAGGTTTTTGGAATCATATAGTTACATTATTATATGTGCTTTGATTAAATTAGACCAAATGAACATTATTTACTCTGAAAAGGAACTATTTTATTTCATTTAGATAGGTTTTAACAGCTCTGGAATAATTATTACCTTCTAACCACTTATTTATCTAAATTCAAGGTTAGTTTTCTATGAACTCCCAGTACTGGTGGAAAATAAAATCTAAGCCTTTTTTAGTTGTCGTATTTGCCTACTTCTCATTCATAGTGTCCAGTGATAAGTGCATATGCATATCCAAGAAATATATCATATTATTCTGTCATTAGAATCACAATAGACAGTTTCTTGCTGTCTTCTTAAAAGATATCTTCCAGAGAGGTTTCTTTTGTCAACTCTTAGAAAATGAAATGAACTAGTTTATAGTTAATATTTGTTTAATCCCTCAGGATAGAAATTTTTACATTCAGGAATTTAGCATCCTTGTCTCATTTCTAAGGGGGAATCTAAAGCTTTGTTTTCAGATATAATTGAAGGTCCTCTCCATTTTTGGTAGAGGAAAGGCAATTATGTAATTTAATACCAAACTATTAAATTATACTTAACTGTGTGCATGGAAGTATAGGAAAGCATAAATTTTACAATCCTAATGCCCATTTTTAGTAGTCTAGAAAAAAATTTAATGGAATAAAAAGTAAAGAGTTTTGGTTCTTCTCCCATCCCTGTCCCATTGCCAGTTACATCAAACTGGTACAAAAGAATATAAACTGTTTTCTCAATAAATCTAATGCCTTGAAAATTGGTGAGCCAGTAGCCTGTGCAAGGTTTGTACTCTGATTCACCATTAGGCATGAAAGCTATAGAAGGGTAGCTTCCTTTAATTCGCAAGAAAACATTTTGTTGGCATAATGCAGAAAGGACTTGAATAGCCTTTGCAGCAAGCAAGTAATTAGTCAACACTGCTTTTGCTGTTTATATGACCAAATCAAAGTTCACTTCCTTATATGCTTCCACAGCTTTCCCCAAACTAAGGTGATGAGCTTTGGTAATTTTTTAAATTTTACACTTATATAATTTAATTTTTAATAATTATAAATAATATTACTCAAAGTAATTACTTACCAGTGGTAGCGCTGTTTTTTAACCCATTACGTAGCTGAACCTCTGGTACTATAGAATGTTATCTGTGCTTTTCAGTATAGTTTGTGAGGCACTTTATTCCAAGTGTTAACTGGGGTTAAACAGTTCTGTTAAGTGACAGATGCTCTTTAAAAAATTAAGAGCTAAAAGTAAACTTCTTTAAGATAATTTTAGTTTGAGTTATTAATGGACTTCTTAAAGATAAGTTGCCTATCATTAGCTTGAACCTTGCAGCTCATATTTGTACTTTGAATTTTACCTTTGTGTTTCTTGATCATTTCTTTGTTTTCCTTTTTTCTTTTAAAAATTATTTAATGGGTAATGATTGTAGAATCCATATATTCAGTGTGTCATTCTATTTTGAGGTAAGTACTTAATAGTTTCTTTAACTTATCTGTGGAATATTTGAACAACAAATACCATTTTTATTAGTCCATATTAACAGGAATGGATTTTTGAGGTACCAGTAATTGAAAGTATGCTTCTCCTTTCTTTTCATACATCTCTGTGCTCCTGTGTGCTAATGAAAAATAGATTTATTTTGTCCCTCATAATTTCTGAACCAGTTTCAATTTTCAAACAGCTTCAGGCGCTGCTTCAGATTTGGCCTAAACTTCCTCCCCGGGAAGCCCTAGAGCTTCTAGATTTCAACTATCCAGACCAGTACGTGCGGGAATATGCTGTGGGCTGCCTGCGACAGATGAGGTATCTCCTGCAGGTGGCTTTCTTTGGAGCTCATTATAATTTGGGAATGGGTAGGAAAGGGGATGTCTCTTTGAATATCTTGTAAGACAGGAAAAGGCATGGAATTTCTTAGTTCAAAGAATTCGTTCCCTCCTCTTCTGTAACATTTACTCTATACTGTAAAAAAACAAACAAAAGCATACTGGGACAGAAGGTGCCCAAGATCACCCTCGTGCTTGATGATTCACTAGGAGCACTCATAGGACTTAGCATATAGTCATACTCACAGATCTAATTTATTGCAGCAAAACAACACAGAGCAAAATTAGCAAAGACAAAAGGTTCATGGCATGAAGTCTAGAAGAAAACAGGCATAAACTTCTAAGGGTCCTTTCCCAGTGTAGTCACACTGAACACATTTAATTCACTCAGGAGTGAATTGTGATAACACATGTTTACCAGGGAAGTTTATTAGATGCACAGTGCCCAGGGTTTTTATTGGGGGCTAGTCGCATAAGTAACCTCTGTCTAGCAAGTACCAAATTTCTAGACTTCTAGAAGGCAGGTGGGTGTGTAGCATAAACCATACTGTTTGGACAAATAGTTCAAGTGCAGTAAGCCACTCTTATCAATTAGGGTGGTGGGAACCTTTCTGAAATCTCTGTTCCCAGGTGCCAGCCACCAGCCAACCCTGTAAACAGCCAAGCCTGGTATGTTACCTCTTTTCTTCACACATAGTCTGTCCACCACCCAGAATTAAGAAATGCTAATATTTTGTTGTGGGTTTTTTGGGGTTTTTTTTTTTTTTTTTGACCGGTGAGGGGATCTCAACCCTCTGCTTGGTGTTGGCCGTACCACGCTCAGCCAGTGAGCGCACCGGCCATCCCTATATAGGATCCAAACCCTCGGTCTCAGCGCTGCCAGCACTGCACTCCCCCGAGTGAGCCACGGGGCCGGCTCTTGTTGTGGGTTTTTAAAAAATATTTTTAAGCACATATCTTAAAGTTGAAGTCCTCATAGTTTCCTTACCCAGTCTTGATTACTTCTCTTCCTTCCAGAAGCAACCATTATCATGAGTTTGGTGTGTATCCTTCTATACCATATTTTTCTGTTTCATCATATATATGTTTATATCTATAAAAATAAAGAATAATATTAGTGCATTTAAAAATTACACAAATGTCTTACCATATGTATTGGTTTACATCTTGCTTTCTTAAATTCAACATTAGGTTTTTGAGGTCAATTTTTCCTATTATGTATAAATGTAGTTTATTTCTTTCACTACTTCGTAATATTCTGTCATAGGGATATATCTTATTTATTCCCTTATGAATGAGTATTCCCCTATTGAGGAACATTTAAATTTTCTCGAAATTTCCCTATTATAAACAATGCTACAGTGATTGTGTTTCTTCAATTCCCTTTGGGCAGTACATGTGTGAGAATCTGTGGGATTTATTGAAGAAATGACAGTCTCAGACAATGGTATTATGTTTATTGGGACTTATGTACCATATGGTAATTTGAAAAATAAAAGTTCTCCGATCCCTTTTTCTTCCTTTTAAAATAATGTGTTTAAAACCATGTGATATCTAAAAGAAGTTACACAAACTCTTCAATAGTGGTTTTTTATGTGGAGTGATATTAGAAGTGTGAGAGAATAGGAAGCCTCCTTCTATTTCTATACTTCCTTTTTATATTTTACACTATTTATAGGATTTATAATGGACTGTATGGAGAGAGGTCACTTGGTTCCCTTGATCAGAATCAAGTGTTTTTCTTAAATTCGTTCATCCCTCTGAGGAAATTGCTGTCACCCCCATGTTCCATGTGGCTGATTCTGATGGTTTTTCCTATGTCAAATTTTCTGTTTATGGGTTTTTGTTTTTGGTATATAGTGCTCTGGGTTTCAGTCCCAGATCTGCGTTAGACCACTTCCTTGACCATTTATTGCCCAAGACTATAGTCAGTAAGTGGAGTTCTTGGAATTCATACCTTATTTACATTACTACTGGAATTACCTTTAATGGGAGTATGTTTGCCAGTAAATGTTTAGAGATAGACAGAAAATACAGAACCAAAAACCTTGATTAATTCAGCCCAGTTAATTACAACATTGTCTGTTCTATTAATTCAATGAATCAATCCCTACTTACAAATTCATTGTTTTCCTTATCCTTCAAACTATTTGAAGTTAGGATTTCAATTGTTCACTGATTATCTGGGAGAAGGATTTACTTAAACCCTAAGCAAAGGAAAATTATGTTGCTTTGTCTCCCACAGATTTGTCACCCCTTTTTCCCTGGGTGACGGAGCCTCTAAAGATTACTCAAAGCCCATCTCTTCTGAGCAGTGAGAAGCCTTGAAAAGGAGTTAATCTCCTGGAACCCTCAAGATAGAAGCATTCCTTCCATTTGGGAAATTAACCATTAATTGGGGTTCTCTTCCTGCATTTATTCTTTAGACCAGGAAGTTACAGGAAGAGAACATAGGTGGTTTTTTTTTTTTTAAGTACAGTTTAACAATTTTAACAGTAGAAGCTGGTAACCTTCAGTAAGACAAGCAAGGTGACATTCTGTAATGCAGTTAAGTCGATCCACTAACAAAAGCTTGATTTTTTTTTTTTTCCTTTTTTGTCTTTTTTACTGACCGGTAACGGGATCGCAACCCTCGGTGTCGTGCCCATACCAGGGACCGGCAACGGGATTGCAACCCTCGGTGTTGCGCCCGCACCTCGCTCAGCCAGTGAGCAGGAACCGGTCTCCACATGGGATCCGAACCCTCGGCGGGAGCGCCGCCGCGCTCCCAAGCGGCGCACTCTCCAGTGTGCCACCGGGCCGGCCCCAAAAGCTTGATTTTAACAAACATTCTTTTCTTACAGCAATTTTTCAATATCTTTACATATCAGTCAGTAAGTAACCTGTCTGTCTTTGAGCCAGCAACCTTGCTGTGTTACAATTCTTTATCTTACAACAGAGACTATATAGTCTGGGGAAAATTTCCTGTCCTTTGCAAGGTCAATATTTGAAACTGCAAAGCTTTGGAAAACCAGGCCCTGTGAAGTACATTTGTTTTATGCATACTTCACATCTCCCCCTGTTTTATTTATTTAAAAGAAAAAGACAAAGCTATAGATCAGGTTTTCACAGTTAAGACAAAAGCCTTTAAAGCAAAGTTGGTATCATTTAGGATGGCAAGTTCTTTTATTTTAGGTGAGGACTGATGATGTTATCATCTCAGAGTGGCTGTATTGGCATTATTCCAGGTGCTGTGAATTAGTTGTAACAACCAATTGTTGAAACTCCGGAATGGGATTCTGTTCCATATAATAGTTGATTCTGAGCCCAGAGAGTTTTGTTAATGTTCACCTGTCCAGGACATTACTGGTTTTTTTTTTTTCCTTTTTGTCTTTTTTGTGACAGGTAATGGGATCACAACCCTCAGTGTCGCACCCACACCACAACCGGCAATGGGATTGCAACCCCCAGTGTCGCTCCCGCACTGCACTCTGCCAGTGAGCGGACCGGTCTCTATATGGGATCCGAACCCTCGGCGAGAGCGCCACCGCACTCCCAAGCGCCACACTCTACCGAGTGCGCCACCGGGCCGGCCCGGACATTACTGTTTTTAAAGCATCTAGTCTTTTGTAAAATTTTTGATCAATTACGAGTCTTTTCTTTAGGGACAGGATGTCTTATCCAAGTTACAAACACCCTCTTTAAAGCCAGGAAAATTTAGAGAACTGCTGTTGTAGAGAAGACGTTATTTCCTCCTTTATGATCAAGGCATTCCTCATAAAAGCTTTGATGATCAATATCTTGATTGAAAAGGTCTTACTTTTTTTGTATAAGTCCCATGCTGCTGGGAAGGCTCATCCCCAGGTGGTGATCTGTCCCCCATTGGGGGCAAAGATGAACAGCAGGATGAAGCAGCAGTTAGGCCAAATTAAGGCAACATGAAGGAGGAGTCAGCAACTTGGAAGTGAGACATGTTATCTTATATCCAAAGTTTTAAATTATATCCTGTTACAAAGAGAGAGAGTTAATTTTTACTGAATTTATAAAAATGGCCAGATTGTCATACTAATCATAAGGATACTTAAAGTTATTAAATTTGGGGGGGATTAAATGGAAAACAAATACTTTTATCTCTATTTTAAATGATATTTTACCAAACTGTTGTTAGTTATAGATAGCTTAAGAGAGAAAGAGTTTTTCTTTTTAATTTGGAAAAGAAAACATTAAGAGAACCAGCAGTGTTTCAAAATAAAGAAATTGTAAAAACCTATAATTCTTTTTAATTAGTTCACTAATTAACCTTTGTTGTTTTGACCTTTGTGAACAATTTCACAAACCCATCAGTTTTTTTTATTAGAATTTAGGAAATTTAGTTTAAAGGTATGAACTCAAAGCTTGTCAGGAAACTGAACCTATCAGAGTTTTTTTATGAAATATTTGAAAACATAACATTTTAAAATTTTAATTAAACCAAGATTATGACTGGTAGTATTTATATTAAAACACAGATATTTAAGAACCTTACAAGATTTTGGATCACATATCCATAACACCTTCAGTACTGATAATGTTTTCTTATATAGTCTAATTTATTAAATAAGCCAATTAGTTTTGATACATTTTTTATATATCCTTTGAGAAGCTCCAAGGCCCTTGGAACTTCTTAAAGTTAGTTTAAACCAAAAGGTTGAACTTTCAGTTTTGGAAAGCTTTGTCAAGTAACAAAAAGCTTAAAACACTTAGTTGAATAAAGTCACAAATTATTACAAAAAGTAAAACTAAAGTGACAGATGGTTTCAAAGGCAGAGAGCACAAGAAATTATTATGAAATAAGTTTTATAGACCAGTTATCTAAGGGACAAAGAAAACCTTTTACAATTTTGTATTAAGAGCAGTTAAGTGAGAAGACCTTTAGTAATCCTGTTTGATTAGTAAACCCAGGCAATGATGTGTGCTGATAAGAACATTTTTATACATTCAGGTTAGTAAATAGGCGTCCAT